GGGACTCCAGGATCATGACCTGAGCCGAAGGCAGTCGCTTAACCAACTGAGCCACTCAGGCGCCCCAATAAATAATCTTTTTAAAAAAGATTCAGTAAACCCTTTGCCCAGCGTAGTGCCTGGTATACAGTAGGCTTTTATGTAACATTTTTTTTGAATGAGTGGATGGATATTATAGCACTGATCACAGTTACTTGTTTTCCTATCTTCTTTCCCTATTGTGCAATATGCTCCTTGGGTCTTATTTCTGTATCTCTAGTGCCCAGCATAGGAAGAAGAGGTGCTTGAATCAAGATGTGAGTAAGCAAATGAATAGTGATCTACAAAGAAAAATGACAGGGAAAGGGAGAGACAGAAAAACTTGTGAACCAGGTGCTAAAGTCCTTAAGGGTGGTGAAAGAGTACCTTGTAGTAGGTCTCTAGCTAGGACCTTTGCTACTGTTTGAGTAGTATAAGCAAATGACATTGACTCAAAAGAGGCGAGATTGATGAGAGGAAAGAACACCGGATTTGGAAGTTGCAATAGGAGAAGAAATATTTCAGTTTCTCTTTCCCCCTCCTGTGAATTCTGGAGGAATTGGCACAGTGTGTTTTCTACTCTGTCCGCCCCCAACCCCCACCCAGTCTGTCACCTAGCCCTCTCATTTTTTTCCAACTATATCTTACTTTGCTTCCTGATGCTCTTGTGCTTAGAATGCTTCAGTACCCTTTTTGCCAACCCCTCTGCCTCCAGACTTTCTCTCTTTGGCCTTCCATGCAACAGCAAAAATCAGAGTTCCTAAGCATCATTTTTCAGCAACATCAGTCCCTGTACTTCTCCAGTGACTCCTGTTGGACTGTCAAACCAAATGGAAACTTTCAGTCTTTAAGAGTGTCCACCATGTAGCCCTCACATGGAAGATGTCCTCACTTGCAGTGGCCTTGATGTTTACACTGTGTACAAAATACCTTACCTTTTCCAAAGCTTCTCATTTACCCTTTTCTCTAGCCATCCAGAGCCCTCTTCATCAGAATTCCCTGGGGACTCGTTTTCTCTTCCTGGCTATCATTCAAACAGCTGTCCCAGAAACACCTGCCTTCCTTTATCCTTTTCTCTGTCCTAGTACAAAACACTCATGAATGTTTTATATATATGCTTTTCTTGTGTGTCAGTATGTGCTGCCCTATCAATTCTACCCTAGAAGTATCCCCCAAATCCATCTCTTCTTCCTTTCCCTTGCTGCCACTGGCCTGGATGGGTGCAAATGCCCCCTGATAACCTTCAGTATATCCTACGCTATAGCCAGAGTATCTTTTCAAAATGGAAATCTGATCATTCCCCCAACACACGTACATGCATGGAAACACACAGACACACACAATGTTTGAGATGTTCCATACTCTTGAAGTAAAAGTCCCCACTCATTAGCCTGCCTGGCATATCTGGCCCCATGTGTCCTAACCCTCTTTTACTTCACTAGCCTCCCTCCCACCCCTGCCTGTTTCAAGCCATCATGCTCTTGTATGTACAGTTCCTTCTCTGAACCTTGCCTCCTACCAGTAACCCTCACAACCGTTCCTGCTGCCAACTCCACTATCTTCACCCCACATGCCTGTAAACTTTTCCTATTCTTTCTTTTTTACTTTTTATTTTGAGATAATTATAGATTCAGAGAAGGTTGCAAAGAAATGTACAAGAAAGTCCCAGCCTCCTCCAATGTGGACATCCTGCACAACTATAATTCAACATCAAGTTAAGAAGTTGGCATTGGTACAATTCATAGAGCTTACTCAGTTTTCACCAATTATGCATGCACTCGTTGTGTGTGTGTGTTTGCGTGTGGCTCTATGAGATTTTTATCACATGTGTAGCTTTGCATAACCACAACCACCACCACAGTCAAGATACAGAACTGTACCATCATCACAAGGCTGTCTCATAGTACTATTTTATAGCCACACCCATCCCTAACTACTGGCAACTTCCAATCTGTTCTCCATCCCTCAAATTGTTATTTAACAAATGGTGTATAATGGAATCATGCAGTATAGATTTTGTATTGGCCTTATTCACCCAGCATAATTCCTTTGAAAGCCATCCAAGTTTTTTTTTTTTCATTTATCAATAGCTTGTTTCTTTTTATTGATAAACACTATTCCAGTGGTATGGATATACCACAGTTTGTTTAACCATTCACTTATTGAAGTACATCTGAGTGGCTTCCAGTTTGGATTGTTACAAATAAAGCTGCTGTGAATATTTGTGTACAAGTTCCTATATAAAAATAAGTCTTAATTTCTCTGGTATAAATGCCCAAGAAGGTGATTGCTGGCTCATATGGTAAGTCTATTTTTAAATTTTTTTTTTTAAGATTTTATTTATTTGACAGAGAGAGCACAAGCAGAGGGAAAGAGAGAGAGAGAGAGA